TCGATGGAAAACTGGACAGCAAAAATATGACTTTGCTTAAGCCACAACTTTTACCAAATATATAGTAGGTGAAATATTTCAACGTGATCGATCACCAAAATATTTAATATCTGAAAAAAAAAACTGAAGTAAGTTTTATCCAGGTTTTCAGATAAGACGTTTAGCCATCTTGATTCCATTTGAATTACTGAAAAACCCTTTGAGTTATTCAGCTAAAAAGATAACAGGTTAAAATCGTTTTGTGTCAGCCCCACTGTCTTCCCAAATGATCTATGGTGAGAGGAAAAAGATCATTCAGGCCTTCGGTCTCGGTACCAATATTCATACTCTGGCTTCCATCTTCAAAATCCATTCAAGAACCATCAAGAGAATGGCGAATAAGTTTTGGAACAGTAGAGAGGAAAACTGAATCAGGAGATCATAACATCAAGAGGGATCATCATTTCAACTTAGAGCTAAATACATTCTTATTGTTCAAAGTAGAATCCAATAGTGTTATAAAAACCTTGGAGAATTCCAGTAAGATATCTTTAATCATTTCTAAGATACAACGGTTCAAAGCTTAATCTAACAATTGAATAATTCTGTTGTAATACCCGGTATGTGGTGATGATGATTATCACTTCTCAGCAGACGAAGACCATCTCTTCACTTGGTAGATTTTGTGTTTTTCATTCAGAATTTTATTATTTCCATCATTTTTATCCGAGTTGACACACTGCAATTGGGTCCTTAAGTGCAGCTTCACTTTTGCAAACTCTCTTACAAACGAGGTAGACATAAAGATCTGTGTTAACTATGTTGGAAACTTTTCTCTCTCTGTATACAATCAAGTGATGTTTTAGACCCTCAACAGACTTATAAACTTCGTCACATAACTGGTACATGTAACCTTCACAAGTAACGTTTGTGAGCCCCCAAAATGCTTCAAGGATGTAGTTAAATGTGACACTCTTTCTGTTAATGTTGAAGGCTGGGAAACTGTATATGGAGACAGATCTGGCTGTAGAAGATTTATTTGGGAAAGCTGCAACAATTTTGAACAGAAGAGAACTGAGCATTCCAACAAAAACCGCTAGAGGTCAGGTACAGACTCATGTGAATGCAACCAGAATATATATATATATATATATATATATATATATATATATATATATATATATATATATTGAACAATAAAAAATATTAATTTATTAAAATCTCCATACACACTGGCTTGTATATTAATATTCTTCCGTTTTTTATTATTTCATTTAGAGTTCTCGACTAGTTTCGGCCAAAATGGCCATCATCAGGAGAAAAAAACATTCTGCTTGCTGGTAGCAGTGAACTACAGAAATGAATATCTTGATGGAGAAAATGAAATTTTGTCTGTTGAATTTTCGTCAGACCTTGTGTTGGTCAAACAGTCACTTTTAAGTTGTTATTTAAGATAAGAGCTGGTTGGATTCATGCTGCTCTGGTCGTTTTGACAGTTTTATTGGTTCCTGGAAAGGGGATGTGTCTCTGTTATGTGTATGTGTGTTATTTTGTTCTTAGGGAGTGAGTGAGTATGATGTGTGTAAGTGTGTATATTCGTGTGGGTGTGTCTATAAGTGTGAGGCCTCAATACCTCCGTAAGCATGTCCGTCTTGTGTGGGTGAGAAATGTGGGTAGTTCCTGATTTTTGGGGTTATATATTAATACTATCTATATTGTTAAATTTGTGATTAAGCCCGTCTGGATAGTGCGTTTTTAAACTCCATATCCACTTATTTTCATGGAACTCTAAAATCTTTCTAATGTTATCTGCTCTGAACTTTTCTATTCTCTCAATTATAGTGAATTTGGCATGGGTTTTGAAATCGTGCTTTTCTAGGCGGAAATGTTGTTCTACAGGTAATAATCCTTCATGGGGAGTCGACTTAATTCGATTGCGATAATTATTAATTCTGTAGTGAAAGTGCCATTCAGATTTTCCTACATATTGTTTCTAGCATAGTGTGCATTCTAGAAGGTAAATTATTTTATGACATCTACAGTTAGAGTCGTGGTAGATCTTGAAAGTAGATTTAGTGACTGAGCTAGTGAATGAATTCGTGTGTCTAATGTGGTTGCAGCATTATCTCTTATTGTTGTCTCATGGTTAGGAAAATCCTGTTGTTTTTGTTTTTGGTTTATTACGGATTACATCGTCACTACCCGTGTATACAAAGAATATATCATCGATATATCTTGCATAGAATACGAAGTCGCTACCGATGAGGGGATAGATATGGGTCTCCTCAAATTTTCCCATGAATATTGTAATATATATATATATATATATATATATATATATATGTGTGTGTGTGTGTGTGTGTGTGTGTGTGTGTGTGTGTGTGTGTGTGTGTGTGTGTGTGTGTGTGTGTGAAAAGTGTATATAAATATAAATAATGCGCCTTAGAAGGTAAGTGCGTAAAGTGCGTAGTTTTGTCGAAGGCCTTCGTTTGCCGTAGCCGGACTCCCGTATTGCGACTTA